AATTTCATTCTTTTTGTTATTAATTAACACTAAGGACTTTTTTAACAACTCACATTTACTTCACATTTAGGTATACAATTCACAATTTTTTGTTCATGAATGTAATATTTACCATGCAAAATGTAAAAGTTTACAACATATTTAAACATTTTGCTTTTGTGTGTGTAAGAACATATAACATCTTTTAAAGATAATTTATAATGAACATTTCTTGGGGCAAATAGAAAAAAGCTAACATCAGACCAAAATTTCAAAGATAAATCACAGCTGTAAAACAAATGACCCAAGTCTTCCTCGTGTACATTACAAAAACTGCATTTGTTGTCAATATCCATGAATTTTGATAAGAAAGCTTTACATGGGTAGATTTTGTGGAGTATTTTAAAGTGTACCTCTTTAACTTTATTCAACATGCAAAATTTATATGGATTTAACCATGCCTCTTTCCAATGAATATCAGAAATCTGCGCATTCCAAAAAAATTCCCCTCTTGGAGAGATTTTATGATTGGATTGAAAGATTAATCTAATATTTTTATTATTACAGGAATGAGAAAATAGTTTAATACCATCAACTATTAACTCAGGAAGTTTCCTTTCGTGACTTCCAAAAATGAGGTGACTTTTCATTAAGTGTATTAATCCATTTGGAATGGCTTTTACAACTTTCTGAAACTCTTTAAATGGAATGGGGAAATTATAGAAAGACATAAATTCTTCATAAGACAACAAGTTTCCACTTTTATCAAACAGATCCATAACAAAGTATATATTTTTTTCAAACCAATTACACAAAAATAAAGACTTATTCCTAGAGGTAATGAGACAATTGTTCCAAAGAAGCATTTTGTGAGGAGAGAAATTATGATGAAAACATATTTTCCAAGCCAATAACGCTTGCTGATAAAATTTTGAAAGTTGAATTGGTAATTTCCCAGGCAGGTAGTTACATCTTAATAGAAAAGATAAGCCTCCAAGCTTTTTGAAGATGAACTGCGGAATAAAGAACCATATTGAGTTTTCATTTCTTTGACAATTTCTTAACCAGTTTAATTTAAAAGTATTGTTAATATCAAAAAAATCTAACATCTCTAACCCACCATCAGCTCTTTTGCCTGATAAAATGTCCTTTTTTAATTTGTAAGATTTATTTTTCTAAATAAAATCCAGGAAAGTTTTATTAATTTCTTTGGCAATTTCATCACTGACATGGAGGGAGAGAGCTGGATAAACAAATATGGAAAGGCCCTCAGCTTTGGAAAGCAAAACTCTCCCAAAAATAGAAAATTATTGATAAACTAAGACCTAAACTTGCGGTGGTGATGACGTCAGTAACCCGCGCCATGCAAAAGGTCCGAAGGTACTTTCGAAAGTAATTTAAAATAATATTCTTAATATCATTAACGCTGTTTTTACCTTGGAAGAATTACATTTGGTTTTATAGGATTATGTTGAATTTATTGCTTCCTTTTAATCTGTAGGCCAATAGCGATTAAGAGTATGGCTCGCCTTTATGCGGAACAGCCAGCTTTCGCGAAACCTTTTGGAACGCCCCCTACCTTTTGTTTCACCAATAAGAAACCTTTTGGAACGCCCCTACCTTTCGTTTCACCAGTGAGAAACCTTTTGGAACGCCCCCTACCTTTCGTTTCACCAATGAGAAACCTTTTGGAACGCCCCTACCTTTCGTTTCACCAATGAGAAACCTTTTGGAACGCCCATACCTTTCGTTTCACCAATGAGAAACCTTTTGGAACGCCCCTACCTTTCGTTTCACCAATAAGAAACATTTTGGAACGCCCCCACCTTTCGTTTCACCAGTGAGAAACCTTTTGGAACGCCCCCTACCTTTCGTTTCACCAATGATAAACCTTTTGGAACGCCCATTGCTCCAAGCTGCAGCTACCCCTACTAGTGGAAAAGGGTGAAGGTGCTCAGTAGTGCTGATAAAATACGAAAAGCTTGTTCAAACAAATTCATTATGTTATTGTGCTCAATATGACACATTTTTAGATGCTTTTATTGAATTAAAATTGGATTTTGTGCATAAAATAAATGGTTCAAAATGAAACTTACCATTGGAAGTTGCTTATCAAGGCCTCTAGATGGTGCTGTAGCTATTATTTGAGACCTATTTCTAGCCTATAGATCAGGGGTCACCAAACTCGGTCCTGGAGGGCTGGTGTCCTGCAGAGTTTAGCTCCAACTTGCCTCAACACACCTGCCTGGAAGTTTAAAGTATACCAAGTAAGACCTTAATTAGCTGGTTCAGGTGTGTTTGATTAGGGCTGGAGCTAAACTCTGCAGGACACCGGCCCTCCAGGACCGAGTTTGGTGACCCCTGCTATAGATACAAGATTTCTGAAAGGCCATCGTTATTAAACAAAATAATTGTTAACATAGGCATTTTTACAAAAGTGCAGGTTTTTCTAAACATGTGCACATAAATGACAGCTGTAAACACAGTTTTGACAGTTAGTCAGCAAAGCCCAAATACTATAAAAATCTGTCTGAAGTTAGTTTTAGTTCCTCTGAACAGGTTTGTAATTGCCATTTCCTCTTTCTGTCACAAACTGAATAGCAGACAGGCATATAGAGAGAAAATACATGTTACAGACATGCACAAAAACTTAAAGGGCTCGTAAAATATTTTTAGAATTTTTTTCTGATATGCACAAAAAGGATTAATTAATTTATTTATTTATTATTTCCTTATTATTTTATTTTATTGCACCAAAAATAGTTTTAGTTTTTAATTTTTTCTGTCCCTTAAAATGACATTTTGTCTAAGTCTTTAGTGTAAACACCATTTTTGCCTGCGAGTGTCAGCACTTCGCTACATTTATTTTCACAATTTGCTGATTTGCTTTCATCTAAAATTGTATTCCTCCTGACATGAGCCCTTTAACTACATACTGTTCAGTGCTGTTTAGTAGGCTTATGCATTTAAAATACTGTAGTAAACATAATTTACAATACTTTACTCTGTGCAGGAAGGTTCGGTTTAGTCTGAATCACACAGTAAATTCATCCGCAGTTGCAGCAGGCAGACTTTTTGGTCACAGGTGGCTCTTTTTTATTGGTGGCCCCGACCGTTAACCCGTGCCAGTCATCTCGGGTGGGTATTTTGCCTTGCTGGAAGAGGGTGTATACGCCTCTGGTCAAGGTCTCAAACGCCTCGCTGACGTTAATGTTCTCTTTTGTAGACACCTCAAGGTAAGCCAGCATGTTGAGTTTTTTAGCTAGAGCTTCTCCTTCACTCTTCCTGACCTGTCGGCCCACGGCCAGATCACATTTGTGACCCACGAGCACGAAGAACATCGGGTTCGGTTTCACATAGTCCAGGACTTCCTGATGCCAGCTGCCCACACGGTCAAACGTCTGTCGCTGCGAGACGTCCAACATCAGGATGCAGCCCACAGAGTTCCTCATGTAAGACTTACATATGGACCTGCAGGAAAAAGGGTCAAAGTCATGTGTGTTGGGAAACTGAGCAACTCTTAACTCCACTGAATATTTTAGGGTGGGTATAAAATAAAAAAAGTATTTATTTATTTAATTGTCTTTTTATTTCTGCATTGAAACAAACTTTAAAGTCTTGGCAATAGCAACGTACTGAATATTTTCACAGTTATTAGCAGGGAGAAAAAAATATATATATTGATAATTTAATGCAGGTTGACACTGCTCTTTATTGACACTGATTTATAAAGAACACCTCTTTTTTGAAATATGAAATATGCAAGTATGAAATATGGTCGAAGTAAACAGCCATGTCCCACAACATACTTTTATGCCTTTATGCTTTTTCTTTTAATTTTCCTTTTATGGCAAAATTTAAACAATAAAACCAGAAAATAATACCTTAAAATAGTGATTATGTTTTTGCTCTGATAAAATATGACAACATATGACAACGGTGCAAAAATTGTAATTCCTAAAATGATACTTTAGCAAGAGCTGTAAAGATCTGCATTGGCAACAGAAGGTTGCCTGTAATTTCTATTATTTAAAAAAATAGTCAAATATATTATATAATATTTAAAACAGTGAAATAAAATTTAACACAAAATCTGCCATTTATGAGAAATACTCTTATCCAGAGAGCAGTTCAACCTTTTAATTTCAAATCTGCCTTTATTATATTATAACGACTCTTGTCTTGTCTGTGTGTTTTATTGTGTACCGTAAAATGCAGTTTGGAGGATACATTTTTTACATTTTTTAATTTTAAGAATTTTAAAAACTGGCCCTGGTTGTCCCATTTCTATAATTTATAATCTGCAGGTTAACAAGTCTCAAAAAGAAAGAAATGACAATAAAATAACATCAATAAGCATAGAGTCAACTCATGTGTATTAGGTTTCATTGACAAACACTCACCTAAATCTCTCCTGTCCTGCTGTGTCCCACAGAAGCAGTTTGATCACAACATCAGGGTCAAAGTTCATGTTATGCACCTTGAAATCGATTCCCAGTGGAGACTGACGGGATTCATCAAACGTTCCTTCAGTGAAGCGATGCAGAAGAGATGATTTCCCTACGGCCGAGTCTCCGAGAATGACGATCCCGAATCTGAAGTTCCACGGCTCCTGCATCGCGAGCGGCTCGTGTCACGATCTCTGTCAGTGTCTCAAAACTCAGCGCAAGTCTTTGCTGTAGGCCTTACCCTCTGGTGACTGAACAAACAGGTTAAATAGTACAAAGAGGGAGAGGTTTGCAGAGTAATGATGCATACACACCTATTTCACAACAGCTGCCTGTGAAAACGTGGCATTGTAAACAACAGAAATCTTTTACAGCACAGTATGTTTGTGTGAAAGGACGTGATATGTGCTGCATACTGTTATGAAATATGATATTCAACACTATTGTCAATGCATTTACTGTTTGTCTGTAACAGATGCTGCAAGATATGTTTAATTCGTTTAAATAATCTAAATAGTGTTTGATGACAACACTAACATTAAATGTGAACAGTAATAGTGATGCTTATCTTGGCAAACACCACTTTTATAAACACCAGTATTATATTTAATTAAGTATAATATTTGTGGCTGTTCCTGACCTTCTGTGAACTTTCCCCTCAGGCTCTGAGATCTCAAACAGAAGGACTCACAGAAGAAAACAGTGTTCGTCTTTGGGAAAACCGGTTTGAACTGTTGGCAGTATTTTGTTAAAAATGGTTATGGTGTTTTTGCTCTGATAAAATATGACAACCGACATGTTAGAAAGGTTTTAATCATACTAATACTTAGTGGCAACTGCAGAAGGTTTTTAGTTTCACACTGCAAAAAAATAAAATAAATATCATATGTACCCAAAATGCAATTTGTCTTTAATAGTAAAGAAAAAAAGACAATTCTTGTATAATATAATGCAGCCGGTTTTTAATGTCACATTCAAAAAATGTAATAAAATAAAATTGTAAAAGGAAATAAAAGTTATTTTCATATATATGATTTCACACTGAAAAGTAAATCAAATTAAATTAAAATCAATTAATTTGCTTAGTAAATTTCTTCAATAAAATAATCATTTATTGTTTGTTGTTGTTGCTTTATTAACTCAAGTTCAGTTGTATGAAACAGATGGAAATAGATGGAAATGGAATGGAAATAAAAACAGCAGATAAGAGACCTATTAGTTAAGGATTAAGATAATAAAACTAAAATTAAAGAAATAAATGACAAAGGTATTTTGAACATTTAAAATTGTAAACCCCCCCATATCAAACACAAACTACACTGTACAGATGATACACTGTTAAGATGAGCTGAAAGCTTTTATGTTGACTTTAAGGCAATGGAAGCACAACATCAGAGACACTTTGAAAATACCTTTATCCTATAATATTTGATCATCTATTAAAGCAGAGGTCCTCAACCACCGGGTCGCGGCCCACTACCGGGCCGTGGAAGAATTGCTACCGGGTCGCAAGAACGTTCTGGGAAAAATGTGTATAGATATGACACTCTGTTATTGCTGTCACCACCGTCGAGCTAGGTGGGCGTGGCTTCAGCAACCTGCTCCTGCCTCTTTGCCCATTTTCGATTATCCGGGAGTGACGCGCGGTGACGCGCTGCCAAGATGGCGACGGCCGCCTCCGCCCACTTTTGAGCTTCAAAAACGCTCTTCGGAAATCTACAGGTGACGTCACGGACACTACGTCCATGCTTTTATACAGTCTATGTTCGGCACGCACGTGATTCGCAGATCAATTTGCAAGTTTACACGTACAAGCAATTTTAAAGCACAAGAAGAAGAAACGAAAGAGAGCTCAATTCGTTACTCACGCGCTGTTAGCAAGACACAAAGCGCGCACAAGCATAGAGACGTGTTTCAGACAGCGCGGAAATACCGAGTTGGGTATACATACACATAAATTTAGCCTATGTCAAAAACCCTTCACAGCACTGTCATTCTCTGTGCTTTAAATATTTTTTCTTGCTCATCCGAA